TGTATGTGAGCTGTTATAAGACACCAAACAGTCTTCAGAATATAACCAAATTATCAAGTTATTTCAAACAACACTGAATAATTTAATAGCTAAATACTTTAACATATTGATAAAATATAACATAACTGACTAAACATCTGTCTGTGAGTGGTCTATCCAGACAAGATAGAATAACATTTATTTGTTGTGATTGGTAATTTTCTCGCATCCATCATCAAATTCATTATTTATTGTAATTTACATTTGATTACTTGAACAATTATTGGTTGGATATCTGTGTTGTCATAATTGTTTAGGTAACAATGTACATCTAAATTTATGATGAATTTCACAACTGTCATCACTTTGTTTTGGTTTAAACCGTGCAAGTGCGCGTATCTAACCCACCTAGACAGCTATTCTTCAGTCCAAACCTTAGTTTGGATCTTACATATTTTATGGTATTAGTGAGCAGGAATGATGTGAATGAAAACTGACATCAAAAATATCCCTAATGTTGCGAACTGTAATTAGAAGAAAATTCAGTAATTGCCTTATCTCATTTATTTTAATGGACTGAGCTTTTGATTTCATCATTCTCTCAGCTACTCACTAAATAGTATACATTCAAGGGATCTCAAATCACCCTGAGAAGTTCAGTTAAACATATGAATTTATGGTCTGCTGTTTTATCTAAAGATTTCTTCGAAATTCAGGTGAATACCCATGATGCATATTGTAGATAATGTGTTAGTATTTGTTTAACCATTCGCATGTTCATGAAACCTGTGAAAAGAGAAAAATTATAAATCAAGAGTATCAGTAACTTATGTGAAGACTTTCCGATTTCAAGATGAAAAACCATAATGCCAAAAATAATTAAAATTTAAAAGGGTGAAAATTATTTGTCTCTAATTCAGTACGTTCATATATTTGTGAGAAAAAATTGATGATAATTTAGAAATAATACCATTTCAGTCACTTGTAAATGGCATCGTGGCACGATTCGAATAATTTATTATCAGTCATTCGAGCATCAAAGAACGTGAACATGACGAAATAGAAGTGATTTCGACGAATTTATGATCAACATGGAAATGAGGTAATGGAAAATCCAATATGTCTTACTGTGATGCCACCTGAAAACAAAAATTTCAAATACAGTGCGATTTTTTTGATCAAATCAGCGTTCCAACTATTAAGTAAATAGAATGAACCAATGATGACAACCAGTGACATAAGGTCACCTTAGTTTTAGTCTTAATTTCAGGTTTCAAAGCGTCGTTTAACTGACTGACTATTGTTTTGCTAAGCTGACCTCTTACTGTCATCTAATTGGTATAGACTTTCTACTCACTTATGAAACATATATTAGTGTGTGGTCTTCATGAAGGACCAATGTCGGTAGGAGGATATGCGCTCGACCTTGTTTGGTATGAAACCTTGCTATGGCATGATAACAATACCAATACATATGATCACCGATGACGGAGAGTGAAACTGACATTGGTGTGACGGACAAGAGTGTATTTTTAGAGAACAACTCTATACTATATGTTCCGGTATACAGTGCGACGGGATAAGAGTACTGATTGTAGTAATCGAGTGCTATTTACGGGTAGTGAAAAATAAATCGTGCAGTTTTATATGTGAAGAAATAGATAAGATGAACATAATCGTTACTAATTGGACAGCAATGTGGGGTCGGATACTTGATGCATGTATATACATTGAAGTAAGAATCACCGATTAAATTTTTTAAAAATGGCTGGAGTTCTATTTACATTGTCGTTGAAACGATAATTGCCGCGTACCAATGTGATCAATAAACATTAGTCACATCTCAAGAGCATAAGTCCTTACTACCGCAAGTATGACTCCAGACTTATATCTGTGACAGTGTTGTGATCATGCTGTTATCAACGTGCATGAGGTTTGCTTGGCTGCTTAGACTGACGATTCATGTCTGTCTTCAGACTGAGAATTTACTCGACAGTTTACAGGTTGTTTGGTATACGAACAACTAGTAAATCTGTCGAAAATATATGACATGTGATATTCATATATCCACAAAAATGAACGATAGTATCTAAACCATTGATATGATGAATGATCCAGAACAAGATAAAGGTCGCCGATCCTAGCAAAAGGCTTATTAGAATTAAAGGCATCCACAGGCACAATAGATTATGTGGAAATGAAAAATATGTGGTATGACAACATAAAAATGACCTCAGCTATGTGAACGAGTGAGTTTTGAGTATCAAAATGTGGAGCGTTCATAAAATTATAATTTGTTCGGTGAGTGATATGCCACCAGTTAGTGTCAGCACGAACAAAAATAATAATTTCACATCGTGATGATATGAAAATATGAAAATTATGGTAATCATAATGGAACAATCCTCCAAATAGATCAGTGAGCAGAGTTGACATGAGGACAAAGTGCAGATAAGGTAATGGAATTGGAGCGTATCCATGCCACTGCAGTACTGGCTTTGCTGAGTGGGCCGGATTAGAGATTGAGTAATTCGAGTTGCTCATTGACTTCAGTTCCTTAGATTGTTTAGCGAATGTGTAGAGTTCAAAATGTTTACTGTCTGCGTAGATCTGCAGGGTGTGTTTTATTCGAAATTGAGCTTACTACATTGGCGGTGACATTTTGGAGCCTGAGATCTGGCTCCATTTGAATTGTACGAATGATTGCTAGTGAAATATACATATTGCCAATTCTCGTGTATTATTATCGACTTAATCCACGTTGATGAATAACGGAATTAAATAAGCCAAATACGAGAATGGATTTCGGATACGTATATTTTGTACAATCACTGATCTGAACGGACACTCAGAGACGTAGTGAAGGAAAGGAAGAAGAGAGAGCAAAACGAGACAGCGCGTAGTGGAGAAGGCTTGTGAGTCAAACCATTTAATTCAGCATTAATCATTACGTATAGCCAGATAAAATTAGGTTACAGACACGTGAAGAATAGGATAAGAAGTGTTGTCTTTCGGCGACTCTTTATTGGGATTTTGTGCGTCACTTTATCACAAAACCCACGGGCTTACCCGTGTTCAATGAATAAATTTTCATACTTTACCACGATTATTTCAACGTCTGATACCTTTTATCGCTTATGTTCAGTGTTTGTATATCTGCTTTCCCACCGCTTTCGTATGTGATTGATTACCCACGCTTAGTGGTCACTGTTCTGTCATTCAAGTCGATCACTGCCCGAATTCCTCTGAGAAAATCTTCTCCGTTTGGTTACAATGAAACGATGCTGTATTCCACACTCATTCATTCGTACTCAGCAGCCCCTCACCCCTAGAATTTTAAGCGCCAGTCCACTCGAGGAACTGAGGTGCCAGTAACCGATCCTTCGAATATTTGCCCAGTGCTGTTAAAGTACAGCGTAGCAAGTTAGTTAACGTAGACGGTAAAACATGTAGACCTCCTTCCGGTGCGAGATGTAGGTCTCGAAACAGCTGTAATTCCCCGTGATAAATGGTACAGTGAGTCTCTGACAATAATACAGACATGATGAGATTTACTGGATATGTCTTAGCTGAAGGTGCTCGATCACACGTCCTTATCATTTCATTATTGGGTAAGCTGTTGTACACAACCCTCATAACATTTAGTTAGTTGAGTACACACGCATCTCTATATACTATCTTCTAAATCATCCATTGAAACTTCTGGTTTGACTGTATTTGGGACTCTCGGTTCTAGAGATGTTACAGGCCAGAGCATCGTCAAGCCCTGAACATCCGTGACGTCTCTAGACGCATTGCTGGATCTTTAAAATAAGACGGACGCGTTCAACATAGCCGGTGTCTTCTTATATGGTGTCACTGAGATTTTACTGATCGAATTTTTGAGATTCTTTGAAGTACTTCTAACAATTCTCTGTCCTTTTTTTAAGAGTGGAATTGCCAAACTTATACAATGACGACGTTTAAAACGCTCTAATACATGTTCGGGTACAGAGAACCAGATTAGTAAAATGCAAAACTCAACAACCGAATTCATCAGATCACTTCTGATGTTCATTGGAATTTTAGTTTTCTGTATCTTTTGAACGTTCTCTGAACTCTGCTCAAAGGCTTAAACACTTCCCTGATGTCACGATGAAGGCAAAAATAGTTTATGCTAACTCACCACGAAGATATTGAATATTGTGTGGATACTTTAATACACGGGACTTACATTTAGCACTTCAAAGTGTGGTCCATCTGAGACACGATACAGACTATAGTTACAACTTAAGAAAATCTTCTCTAGAAGAAGTTCTAGGAGTGCTGGTACCCTATGATTTGAAGACTAACACTAACTGACGAAAATGCCTTTCAGGCAAACATTGCACTGGTAACATTGAAGCGCAGTTTTGTCCATTTTGACGGTATAACTTTCCGCATGATCTTCAATAGTTTTATTCGTCCCCATTTAGGATACGGAAACATAGTATTTCCTCCCTCAATCCAAAAGGATAAAGACACTCTGTAGCGTATCCAAAGGCAAGCCACGAAATCAGTTCGGGGACACTATTCAAGCCTTATGAAGAGCGCCTCCAATCACTTAACCTTTACCTATTAGAGTATATTCGTCCTAGAGGTGACCTAACGGCTTACAGTACCATGAACACTTCTGGACATCCACTTAAACACCTACTTAAGTCTAACTCCAACACAAAACTAAGGGGTAACACCCAGAAACAGGAGACACAACATGGCAGAACGGGCTGTAGACACAACTTCTACTCCCTAAGAGTTATCAAATGCTGAAATTCGCTGCCGGCCGGGCTAGTCAAAGCGACTTTCTGTGAGTCCTTTAAGAGGAAACGTGACATATTCTTAAGGATTAGGGATAATATCTTACTATGATTTACCAATTTCTTTTTCCTTTTATTATCGTTAATATACCTAGATTCTTGCTTGGAAGTATTGGTGAATCACTGCTGCTACACACGGAAGCCCGTTAGGCGAAAGCTTCTTCTATTCCGTCCACAACCACTTGAACCATTTGAACAGTAGTTTTGCTGAGCGCGTATTACGGAGACGTTTCGTTTATGATCTGGCAATAAAGATGGATCGGAAGGCAGCAAATTTTGTTCACTCACAAGCCGTTTCTAGAGACTACATATCACAGCCTCGTATAAGTGAGTTCAGTACCAATGATGGTACGGTTTACTTTTTCTCAGTAATAATTTTCAATCATAATTACTCATTCCTGATAGTCAGTACGTCTGTACGAACATTATCCAATCATTTTAACATTATTACAGATGTTTATAGGTGCTCTGTGACACTAAAGATCTTGATTTTGATTGTTTGCGTTAGTCTTGGTTATTACTGCTGAGATTGTGGATGTGCCACAGTCTTCTTAAAACCAGAAGTTTAGCTCCAAGAAACTATCTGTGGTACAAGATTTTATCACGACAATTGATAACATTAGAAAAAAAGGTTTTGATACGGAGTTTTTAGGTGGATGTACGTCAAGTTTGTTAGCTGTTCCCCGGAAATCATTCACAGCCTGAGGGATCATGGTTGAATGACAGTCCAAGTAACATTGGTTCTATGCAACATATGCACGTTTCTAGTAAAATTTCTTTGATTCCAACCCCTACTGCTCTTTCTGTCAGCCTTCAAAGTATTAGCAGGTGAATAAGACTTACCTGCATGTATCCTACGCTATATTGTGTAGTTAAGAAAAATGTTAGTCGCGCGTATGTCGTTTGACCAGTTCTAATCCATAATAGTCAGTTTGTCCTACTTAAACCTCACAAAGTTGGAAATTTGAAAAATCCGAGTGTGGAGAACTTACATCAATTGTATTTCGATTGGCTCCTTAATAGGACTTATAAGTTCCACTTATTAATCGTCCAGGTGTATGAACAGCAAATAAAAATAAGACGATCATAGAGGAATAAGAACTCGTAATTATGAGGTAAGTAGGGAGTGCACTTTAAGTTAGTTTACTACGCAGTGTATTTTAAAAAAATATGTGTATAATCCATACTTCGAATAACATTTTTATAGTGGTTGATGAATTGTAGTTTGTATATTCCAATGTTCTTCGTCATTATCAAAAATACTACACAAGTCTTAAGTATGTGTAACACTATATTTGGTGTTCCGGTTTAGTTATGTCTATTTACACTGACCACATAGTTATAATGAACAGTCGATTTTGTTGACTCTTCACTTCTTTAGTTATAGTTATTCCTTAGTTGTGTTTTGAAATTTATTTTGCAGCCTACAAAACCGTCTCAGGAGTAAATGGACCTCTCGTCATACTTGATGATGTAAAGTTTCCTAAATTTGATGAGATTGTGAGACTAACTCTTGCTGATGGCAGTCAGCGAACAGGACAAGTTTTGGAAGTTTGCGGCAAAAGGGCCATAGTCCAGGTATTCGAGGGTACTAGCGGTATTGATGCAAAAAACACTGTATGTGAATTTACAGGAGATATCCTTCGTACACCTGTGTCAGAGGATATGTTAGGTATGTTTAGTTTACATAAATCTCAGGCATTTTTAAGGTCGTATATTCAATGGTTCTGGAAAACCGAAAGACAAAGGTCCAGCAATCCTTGCAGAAGATTACCTCGACATTCAGGGTCAACCAATAAACCCTTGGTCACGCATTTATCCAGAAGAAATGATCCAAACTGGCATATCAAGTATCGATGTGATGAACTCGATTGCACGTGGCCAAAAAATTCCCATATTTTCCGCTTCTGGTCTACCGCACGATGAAATTGCTGCCCAAATATGTCGTCAAGCTGGTCTAGTCAAGTTACCCGGAAAAAGCGTTATAGATAGTGATGTAGACAATTTCGCGATTGTATTCGCAGCAATGGGTGTTAATATGGAGACTGCTCGGTTTTTCATGCAAGATTTTAAGGAAAATGGTTCAATGGAGAATGTGTGTCTGTTTCTAAATTTGGCGAATGATCCAACTATCGAGCGCATTATAACACCTCGAATCGCTCTTACAACAGCCGAATATTTGGCTTATCAATGTGAAAAGCATGTGTTGGTTATCCTTACCGATATGAGTTCATATGCAGAAGCATTGCGTGAGGTAATTAGTAGTGTTCTATATACGTACCGTAATTTGAATTAAGTAAAAGTATGATCTTGGGGGAGAGTTTGGACTTGCCAGGTACTGATTGGAACGTGGGTGCATAAATCGAGTGATGGCTCACAACTCTATATTGCCACATGAACTGCTTTTCTACGCATTGTAATTGTAGTCTGTATATTATAGTGTGCGGTCATTGATCCGTATTGTTTTGTCATTTTCCTTAAAACTTTTCATAAAAGTCAAGTCTCATGTACCGGAATAGCTCGGAAAATCGTAGAGGAGTTACCACACTATACGCTACATATGCTGCGGAGGTAATTATTATTTTCCGATTATTTAGACACTGGTATAAGTTTTAGTCTTGAGCCACCACTTAGTAGACAAAGATTATGAAGCGAGATAAATAAGGTTATATGGGTTTCTAAACCAAAAATTCGAATTTAGTTCAAAATATATGTGGATAAGCAGTTTTCACAATATGATGCAATGGTCCATTAAAGTGATTATTTTCCTACCACCACTTCTCTCGAACTTGATAATTTTCTTTCTCTGTAGTAATATGCTTTGGGATCTTGATTTATGCACACCTACCGACTTGAGCCAATGTATATTTTTTTCAAGTCTCACTTTACATAAACTCTGCTTCGATGGAACCCTTATCAAATAATTATTTTGACTGCTTAGTAAACCAGTTTAATATTCCTACCCAGCTGCTCATTCTTAATCATCAGCTCTGCCATACTCCATCTTTTAAGACAATGTGTTCGAGTGAAGTACTAAACATACGTTGAAAAAGTACTTGTTAACACGTGTTTGAATATGTAATGGTCTAGAAAGGATAACTATCGTTTCTACTCTTAACATAGGATTATTTACAGTTATTTTTACTATCAGGTTCTTTCATAATATGATCTTTGTCGTTTAGGTATCGGCAGCTCGTGAAGAAGTACCAGGACGTCGTGGTTTCCCGGGTTATATGTACACTGATTTGGCTTCAATTTACGAGCGAGCTGGTCGGGTTGAAGGTCGCTCAGGGTCAATCACACAGATTCCAATTTTAACTATGCCTAATGATGATATTACTCATCCTATTCCTGACTTAACAGGTTATATTACAGAGGGTCAAATTTATGTTGATCGTCAATTACATAACAGACAGGTTAGTGGAAAACTGGAGTATTTCACTTACTGGGTTGTTAATTAGTTTATTCTTTTACATGAATTACTCTTTTTGAGTTAAATGAGTACATACTTCAGTATAGTTAGTTTATCCAAGTTTTAATGTCACCAATTTGGCCAGATATTGAAACTGGAACACTCGTTTAATCCTAGTTACGAGCCATTTGATTTACATTTTGGCATTTGGGGTGTTAGGTGCTAGGTTCAAATCAAAATTTAAACATCACTGCCGCGATACTAGTAGATTCACTTGACAACTACCTAGTAGAATGGGACATGCATCGTGGATTCTACTACTAGCCGCAATCTAACCATGCTCAGTTATGCCAACCCATGTTATGACTTAAATCATGTCAGTGCGAAAATTTAAGGATTTTTTACGTTATAAGCGTCAAATCAAATTAAAATTCAACACACTAGTCAATCAATCTGAAATGTAATAATAGTGTTTGGTTTTGTTGTTATGCAGTGTGATTGCGATTCTTATAACCAAATCTATTTTTTCTTAAGAACGATGATACACATTCACTTTGCTACATAGACCCATTTTTATTTTATAACCTTAAAAACTCAATTTATTCACATCAAGTTTATTAGAAATGTTTCATGCAAAATTAATATTGTACTATTTAAGTTTTCAAAACATTAATTATTTATTAATAATAAGAATTAATTAAATTCCATGCGTTACATTACCTAGTAGTAATACATCATTAATAGTCTATTTTTACAAATAACTGAACTTTTGATGAATATATTGGATCCTAACTGAGTTATTTCTTATGGTCCCCGAATGCCCTGGTATGGCCGAGAGTGGGGAGAGTCCTCCCTCTCGAAACGCTTTCATAGAACCACGTGTTTATAACCTCTGCCAAGGAAGTCCTGCTCACTGCCTTCTCTCGGGTTGTTGTTAACGAAATTGGGAGAACGAGAAGCGAATACCTGGCGCTTAAACTGCATTGTCGGGTACGAAGTGTTCACCCTGATTCAAAACCAATGGCGTGCAAATCCATTCTTGGTCACTGGATGCTATAAGACTACATCTAACGTTGCTTCACCGCCTCGTGGACTAGGTCTGTAAGTCAAAGGTCCGGGGGGCGACCCCTTAAAAAAACCAGTTCGGAAATTCGGGTAATATCCCAGCCTACACAAAAATTTAGTGATTTGTGTGGCGCATATATATCTTGGTGTCTCTTTAGTAGCAATGTTTGTGTTTTTGAATGAATGGATAATTTTTTCCGACACTAAGTTACTCATTATTTGACTATTACCATGTCTTTTTTTGACGGGAATATTTCTATCATCTGTATGGAATGAAAAATCACATAGATCTATCCTCCAATCAATGTGTTACCGTCGTTGTCACGTCTGATGAAATCTGCCATCGGTGTGAATATGACTCGTGAAGATCATTCTGATGTGTCCAATCAGTTGGTAAGTTTTTTGTTTACCTAAATTTTTGGTTAGTGTGCTTACGGAGGTGATTATGAGCTGAGTCGGTTTCTCTAATTTACTGTGAAAAATTCACAGTGTTGAAACAGTTACGACCAATGTTGATGAGGAGTTTATGTGGTAGAGAATAACGCTATTCAGTTGAATACTCATCAAAGAAATTCTATAAAGGTAAAATATCACTTACAGATATTCTGGAAAACCAAATCGAAGCTATTGATAGGTTTTTTTATTCATTGGTTAATACCGTAACATGATATCTACTCTTTGTATTCGAAAGGATTGTTAGTATTATATAGAGCGTTTTCGATCATAATGGGGATCATGATTAAATGAATGGTATCGTCCTAAAACATCGGCTTGGTGATGCATCGCAAAACTCGTCTCAAAGTTTTGCATTAAAAACTGACACTGGCACTAACTGTTGACAGAGCGATGGTTCATCTGTTACCATCTTCCGTAACTGTAAAAAGTAACTATACTTATAAGATATTCATTGACCCATCGAGGTTCCTTTTATCAAACCGCTCAGTGACTTGAGCTGTTCGTGATTGAAGCCAGTAGCCGTCTTATCGTAATTCACTATTTAATCCTTTGAAAGACGGAAGACCTTCAGAAAACGTCTCAAATCATTGAATTATGTGTTCTGTTGAACGCCGTCCAAGGACTTATGATTTACAAACATTTATTTGGATATTGTTGTGAACTGATCGTCTTTCCAATTTTTCCCTCAAGCACTCGTCAGGGATATCCAACTTCAAGAGGCCTCATTTTGCAACCTCAACATAAAATTGCTCACATTGCAGGATTGTCCCTACCTCCACATAACTTGCTTGTGAAGCTCTCAATTGTCAACTGTGTCCTGACTTTCTCGAAAGAATGTTTGGTTTTATCTCTTGCAACGTTGCTAGCTTTCACACAGCTTTTGAGTTACATGGATTTCTCGACTATTTTAGAAACTTGATTCTGAAGGATAGATGGGAACACAAGCTCTTCCTTTTGGGTACTGTAAGAATTTGTATAGGAGCTGTTGTTCATTTCTAATTATTTATTCTATGTTGGGAACCACTCTTATGGATGCTAAACTTTCAGAAGCTATACACAGTGTTATTGGTCCACACATAGTACGACATTTAATTCCATATAGTGAATTTTTTTCATGGGTGCTAAGTTTCACTACCATTCATTTATCTTCATATTTCTAATGTTTACGCATTAATAACTGATCCTTCCATTTTCTCTTCTTTATTCTTTTTATTAACAGTATGCATGTTACGCAATAGGAAAGGATGTCCAAGCAATGAAAGCTGTTGTTGGTGAAGAAGCATTAAGCCCAGAGGACTTACTTTATTTAGAATTCCTGACAAAGTTTGAGAAGAATTTCATTTCTCAAGGTTAGTTCAATTATCTAAACAATCTCTTTCATGCAAATGTCATCATAATTCAAACGTCTTGGTATAAGGAATAGCCACTTCTGTATGTAATCGAGAAGAAATTACATATACGACCCAATTTAATTTGGAAGTCGTCAACATCAACTCATAACTATCATTCGGTTATATTCTGAATTCACGCCTCACAGTTCATCATAATCAACATGGAGCTTGACATAAATGTTCATCACATCACATCACCATAAGAAATCAACACAGTGAGATGAAATTAACGAAATAAGTAATAAATGAGTTAAAATAGTAGTTGTTTCGCTGAAAGTGGAAAAGACTAAACCCTGAATGGTATATTGATTATGTGAATCATTGTTTGAACTATTAGATTTGAAGTTGTTAGGTACCGAGTTAACTAGAAGCGTTATTAGGAATATTATACTCGTAGAAATGTTAGTGATTGTACTAAAAATAGGGAACTCACATTCTTACTAGTGAGTTGTTCAGTCGACAACCAGTGTTACTTAGCTTTCATTAATGACCTTTCATTTGAGTACTTAAGTCTTGTAAATGCCAACCAGTTGAGTTGTTTTAAGACTCACTGCTTTTTTATGTTCTGTTGTTCTTGTTGTGTCTAATTGAATTAGGTGCTTATGAAAACCGTAGTGTATTTGACTCACTAGACGTCGGTTGGGAACTCTTGCGTATATTCCCAAAAGAATTGTTGAAGCGAATTCCGTCAAAAATATTGGAGAAATACTATCCTCGTTAATTGGTTAGTTGATTTACCCTGTTATCCTCGATTGTGAGTATTCCTACCATGGAAGTTGCGTTATTTATTGGTTGAAGTAAACTCTGAATAACGTATATTATCGTCAGCTTTTGCATTCCTATTTATTTTCTTTCCTAGCAATTATCACTCATAATTTTCATTGCCTATAATATGTATAATGGTGGCATTATCCATCCATCATCACAAATTACTTACTCATAATTATGATTTGATTTTGTTTAAATGTTCATTCCATTTACAAAGTTTCCAACCATAGTTTTCTATTACACTGTATTTTCTCTGTTCTGGATATTCAAACACTTCGCTTCTCATTTTTCCTTTACACATTTCTAGATACATTAAATCTTTCTATCGTTTGAATTTTTAAAATAAACTGGAAGCATAATATAAACACTAGTAGTTGAGGTATCATTTAAATAGGGCTATGGGTTTCATTTTTTTAAATCTTTCATTTGATTTGATTTTGTGCTCATAACTTCTAATTACCGATATTGAACAATTATAATGATAATAATAGTAATAATATATGTTCTTCACCAGTAATGTCACTTAAAACATGCATACATAGTAGGACCGTAAAGAAAGCAAAAATGATGAGAAATGTGCCTTGTAGTACACAATTCTGTTTTCCAAATAGTTGATAATTTACGGATGTTTGAATACTAGTGTACACTGACCACACACACATACATTGCTTTAATTGCATTGTGAAAGCTTTTTTCACAGAAAGAGACCGAACAAGTATTTCACAGTGAGATATGCAGTTCCGAAGACAGAAGCATATAATCAGTTATTGAAACTGTAAAATTGGAAATAAAACGTCATTTCGACAAACAGACGAAGAGTTAAAGAGTGGAGGAAGCAAACCAGCCCACTGGAAATATTACTCTTTACAAGCGCTAGTATAACTCATACTGGACGATACGTAGTGAGCCAAAGAAACAGATTGGACAAAATGGTACGTGCATAGATACATAAAGCACACATTAGATACAAAAAGTAGAATTACAAAGACTGAGTTATGAGATATATGTGAAGGTACTGTAATTATTATTGGTAGTAAAAGCATTAGTACCAGTAGTAACATTTGCTGTCGTTGTATGAAATGAATCACGACTGGGAAGCAATGCAATGATATTTGACTAACAGTTTTAACACGAATAACGATCCCTTGTTTGAATTTTTAAAGTTTTCGTCACAACCTAACATTAGATGCTCAACAAAAATGTATTTCCAAACGAAATCCGACTGATTTGTTCGTATACTTCATTGCTACTCACTATCTTTAAAGTTCCTTCTTTATCTGTGTTCACAAGCCAATTACTAACGTTGAAGTGTTGTGTGACAGACATTCAGTCGATCTGAGTTCCTATTCGCTAAGTCGTACTAAAAGAGTCGTTCATAAATAGAATTTACCGTGGACAACACTCAAACCTTAGTCATTCTCGTTGAGATTTAATTGTGTGAACGTAAGCACCAGAAATGATTACGTCTCACATTAAAACTACCCAATGTATTTTATGGCTTACTATCCCATGGATTACATTGATTCATTTATCACTGAGAAATTTTTTCTGTATTTTTTCACATATTCGATTTTCATTCAATAATATAACATAATCAACTTGAATAAATTATCCTCTTGTAAATACTTGCTTATCGATGTTGTGAACAGAACGTTTCATTTTATGATTGTGTATCGAATTGTAATTAAAAGAATATGGATTTCATTTTTATGTTGTGTGTATGTTTTTGTTTTCGAAATAGTTCAATAAACGTGAATTCGACCATTTTAATTGTTTATTTATGTACTTTGATTTCTATGAAACGACAACATATATCTACTTGTTTTGCATAAATGAAACAAACTCACAAAATGATCATCGCAAGTCATGTAGCTAAGACCAAGAGTAGTATAATAAATGGACTATGATTCAAATACTTAGTCAGGTTAACAATCATGTTATACAAACATGTGTAAATATGGTTGCGTTACCATTGATAATTGCTTGGTATAGTTGACAATAGCACTTAAAGTAAAGTTTTTCGTCGATGATTTTGATCTGTGCTTATTATTCATCACTGATTTATACAAAATTCGATTAAACTAAATAGTATTTTGGAAATACCAGTTAGGTTAGTTGGATGTAAAAAAAAATAACCAAACATCATTATAAAACTACTTGACATTGAATACCATTAGTGAGTGGTATTGTTCAAACTATTGGTTGATGAGGTTATGTGGAGTAAATAAAGTCGTCTCCATGCAACATTCAGGTCTACATATCTATCAGAAGAGAATGTGTTTTAGATGTTGAAATAAGATTTTCGAATTAACTCTCCATAATGTTAGACTCATTGTATAGTAAAGTATGCTTTAAACATCTGGAATAAAACATCATAGAAAATTATAGTAATATAGAGACAAAACTGAACGATTACACTGTCTGACATTGTCTATGAAAAGGTTGGTATTATTTGTACTAATTGGAAGCAGGTTGCATGAAATCGATAAGTCACTAAGCGAATATTTGTTTTTCAGTGTTACCGGACAACAATGTATAGAATAAATTGAATTGTCTAAACACTGCACTCAAATTGGCCGTTTTCGTAAATAAGCGGGTAATGTTTTTATGTACTGTTAAACCGTAAATTTGTGGAGATAGTCTAAATCCGTTTAATTAAGATTAAAACCTGTTGTGAGTGATACATTTTCCTATTTATACAGGAAATTACTCCACTTCAGAATAAATAAATCATTGAAAAGTAAGTATAGTTACATAAACATCTTCCAAGTAGCATACGCGAGGGTATATACAACAAAAGTCTAATATCTTTGTGCAGTCAAATGTCCGATCACTACTACAAATCTGTTAGTTTACTTCTTAATGAAATGCATCTCACCCGACCACTTTGAATTGAATTATGATTATATCAGTATATCAAATGACAGAACATGGTCGTTGAGTTGATGCTGAATTAGGATTCAAGGAATATGAAAGAATCCTTATCTATATTTCCACAGACGAGTATTTAGTGTGTAGTTACTGAAATGACTTCTAAAATATATTGATTACCAACCAAGGTTGATATTCATTTAACAGATTTCTTTCTTTTTAAGTCAATCACTTATTCTGAAATCCTGTAATACTTCAAAATATACGACAACCTGTCATTATTTAAGAATATACGAATGCTAGTATTCAATCTGTTAGATGGAAGTGATCTTACCAACAGGATTGATTTGATTAATCAATATTTAAATGCTGAAAATTTCACAAATAATTGGAGTTGGAAGCAAATGATCATTTCATTATATTTGTGTTCTAATACATTACTTACGCCTGTTAAACCTCGTCGAGGAGCATAGGCCGCCCACCAGCATTCTTCATCCAACAGTGTTCTGGACAATCCTTTCCAGTTACTATTCATCCTTTTCATACATGATTCCAATTCTCGACGTAGTGTGTTTTTGGGCATTCTTGTTTTCTGTTTCCCTTCTGGATTCCAAATTAGCACTTACCTCGTGATGCACTTTGGTGATTTTCGTAATGTATGTCCTATCCACTTCCAACGTCTTTTCCTGATTCGCTCTTCAGCTTGAAGCTAGTTTGTTCTCTCCCACAATAGGCTAATGCTGTTCGTAACCAGCCAACGGATATTGGTTCTAATACATTGGTAGCAAGTAAATATTGTCTTTTCATAGCTCTGAAACATGATTAAATTTACAACATTCGTTCATTATTTCTGTATCCATTCTAATTTATCTCTTCGATTGCTATCATACACAAACACATGTAGCGAGTGATTATGTACAGTTTGGTGTTTTATAAGGCCATGTTTTATAGTAATTCGTAGTGCGTAGGTGGTTGATGACTATTAAAACCCCTTCTGATTGTTATGGCCTAAAGCCGCCAATCAGAAGCAGCGAATTATCGATCGGACCAACACGTGCGAGCAGCCTAGAGTCCTGATTGGTCCTGCTTTAAGTCCAGAATACCAGTCTCAGCCTCTGTAATATGAATCCTCATATTTCAAACATACTGAGTTTATATACCAATCAAACAGACCACAACGTACCACTAAAATATGGAACAACATTTGTACAAGAATTAGCCAGATGTGGCTGTGAATAAGGGAGGCAGTGACTAATAGACAGGGCATAATTCAAGAATGGTAAAACGTATAATAATGGTTCATAGGTCAAAATAAAGTTTATAATAAGAGGAACATGGATAGTTTAGTTATTTGACAACTATACGATAAAAATGTACGTTTAGTATTGGTCCATAAAAAGATCCCAAAGTTACCATTCATTATGTTTATCGGGACCTAACACTGATACTAATCAACATGTGCTCACTAGTGACTGGCTTCAAGAGGTATATCCTGGAGTTCTAGTGGAGTGCAGCCGGGTATGTTGTGAGAGAGTAACTCACTGAAGACAATGGTGGATGTGTTGCTCAATTTCGTGGATTTGTTGAAGTTAGACGTTAACACCGTTGGCTGACAGTCGGTTCAGTGGTCTGGTGGTTAAGCGCTCGCGCGTGAGACTGCTAGGTCCTGGATCGATGCGCACTGCTGAGGAGTCCCACAATAGGGCGAAATAGCCGCCCAGTGCTTCCAGGCTTTCCATGGTGGTCTAGCTTCAATTGATTCATGATCTCAACTATTGAAATTAGTACAATCTCCACAAAACCCTTTCTGATACTATTAAAACAGTCATTTATAAATAAATATTAATTAAAGATAGTCGAAGTACCATCAAGATGCTTTATTGGATCATCGGTATAATTCAAATTCATATTTAGTTCAAACATGTAAATAATAGATAAAAGTATATGTGAGATTTACTACAGTTTTTGTTAGATATATTTACCTTATTAGTGGATTCAACTTGATGATTCAATTGATATTACAATGTGAATGAAGTATTTTTTTTCTTTCTTTTTTAATATATTCAAGTCAATTGTGCATAATTGATACTGTGACCCTAAAAACACTATTTACCAATGGAGTCAATTTGATGACAAGACAGAGTTGATTTTCAATTTACATGTATGTTCATTAAATAACTTTGTTATTAGATCAGTAAGATATTAATTTAGTTTTGAAATGAATTATCAACAACTGATAAGACTTATTGTTTGGACTCCTTGGCTATTTAATCGAGAATTGATTGTATAATAGAATCATTTGTTGATTTTAATGTTTTACTTTCTGTTATGTCCTTTTTACGCTGTTAATCATATTATGTGATACGATCGCCAATTAAAACACGGACCTAGCACTGTAACAGACTAATGATGCATAAACCAGTACGAGCAGCCTAGAGTCAACTCTGAGTTGTTATTGGTCCACCCACCCGGTTCAGTCCAGAACATCAATATCAGCCTTCGTTAATTATGTTCAGTAAATCATGTGACTCAGCTTACTTGACTATCATCATTTCTAACCACACAATCACTTTGATTAAACGACTACGTAAAACCAAGAAGCACTGAATAGCTTATTTGTTTAAAGAAATAATCAATCATACTAGAAAACCTAAACAATAGAGATAACTTTTCAAATGATGATTAAGTTGATGTGTGTGAATTAACCATATTAGAATGAAACGACCTTTCAGTGCTTTCATCTTGTTAATAATGGTCTAACATTGATCAGTTCATAACCTCGATTAAAATTATTACGTGTTAAGCATGAAACTTTAATATTGAAGTAGTCAATCATTATACATTTGAGTTCGCGAGATGACCCAGTAATTCTGTATGTCTGCTTAAAATATGTAATATGGAGAGTAAGCCATTTTTGTAACGGATGACAAATAATGACTATTTGTAAAAAGAAGTAACATAAAAGAGAATATATTATTATTACCCTGAAGAAGTCCAGACAAGCTAGCTGGACGAAACGTTGGAATTAGTTAAATTTCAATCGTTGAGAATATTTCAAATATAATTGTCACATATAATGACTTCTCTATACTCGGCGCTTAATTACTATCAAACTATTCGTTCTATAAAAAAGAATATTTAGGAAAATTGGACAGATTATTGATTAACTTATTCAGTTTGCAAAATCGATAATCAGAATTATCACAGTAACTTTTAGGATTTTGGCACCAAATTTTGGTAATCGTATCAAAATCAATATCCATTCAGTCAATATAGGCAGAATAATAATAACTTAGTGCATAACAAATTATGGATTATGTAAAATATAACAAATTTTGATTGGGTACTTAATGAGTTATAAAATTCTATCTTGGTGTTTGTTTATTTGGAATCCTCAATTTCTTCATGTAATTATTGGTAAAAAAGAAGTGATAAAAATGTAAAGTCTTAATGAATCTCTCATCCAGTCATTCATTTTGAAGAACATTACTTACAACATCCGCGATATCCATGAATGCTATTAAGAGTTCACCTTACTCGGTAAACGGAACAAAGGTCAAAAATACAGTGACACGATAGGCTATTGTAATCCGTTGTCCCCGGCCCTGATAACTAAATCAAGAACTCTTGATGAAGCGTAGAGAATGTATTCTACAAGCACTTAGAAAATACGAGGTCACTAAGCACACAAATCAAGCTTATTTATACACTGATAGAAACGCCCTTGGGAGCGCCACAAAATAACGTACTAAAAAATCCGTCAACCAATGACAGTCAAAGATTTCCCAGTGAAAAATGTAAGCTGTAGGTCAACTCAGCATCTCTTAGCGCGAAAATATAAAATTCAAATTTTCAGAAGAAAATTACGAAATTAGGACTTTCTCCAAGTGAGTTCTGGGGATCTAACGTCTTCAACAATCCGCAAATGGTCAATCAAAACTAATCCATGGTGTTCTATATACTGATTTATTAGATACAAAATGTGTTTCATACTTATCATTGACACTATTCAATGTGACTTCAATTCTTCTGTACATATCTCGAATTTATAAACCTCATTTTGATGATATATCTTTATAGTACTTACATGCATGTGATTGAAATTTCAAAGAATATCGGTAAATTTAAACCTTTTAATAGTTGAATTCATGAGTCAATTGAAGCTAGACCCCATGGAAAACCTGGAGGCACTGGATAGCCGTTTTTTCCTAGTATGAAACTCTTTAGCAGTGCGCATCTATGATTCCGCACGCTTATTCGAACCTATGACCTTCGATCTCGAGTGTGCAAACGTTTAACCTCCTGGAATCGAACGGTGTCACTGTCTAACTTCAACCAATCCACGAAATTGCGCCACTGTCCACGATTGTCTTCAGTGAGTTACCATCTCATAACAGACTTGGTTAAACTACACTAGTCAAGGCTTCTCACTAGAACTAAACTTTTCCGTTTATCATTCCAAACTACTCATTAAACTACTAATTACAAAAATTTAATGTAACAGGATCATTAAACTAGAGAGTGAAAATAAAATGTATACTGTTTCAACCAAACATTTCATTTATTCAGTCTACACAGATCTCAAAAATTTTTATTACAACGATTTCAGTAGCCTTAATAATAAAGAAAAGATCAGATTGTACACAAAGTTTAGATTTCGCATTACGAAAAACTAAAGCTATCACAATAGGAATTGGATTTTGACGTGCATATGTCAGTAACTGTCACTGAAACTTCTGTATGAATTCGAATGATGAATCTTCTTTTTAATGTCCTGGGTTTGACTGCTATTAAACCAAATATTTTATCTTCAAGAGTACTGACCAGATAGTTACTAATTTGTATCTATCACATCTTACTTCACTGACCACTTGTGAAAAATTCAGTTAAACAGAGAGATCTGTAACCTTTTTAGATCACTGATCTAAGGAGGAAATTGCCTAAATCAGTTTCGATATGGAGTACTGACTGATGTTACTAATAAATATAGCCTATTCAACTTATTGATTATTTTCTATTTATTTTTCGATGACTGATTTTTAATGTTTATCCATTTGCATGAATGTTTGAGTCTCTCTTGCTATTAATTTTTAGTACTAAATATATTGATATGCAAGATGAGTCGAAAACATCGACCAATTCATATCACAGACCACAGACTTAAATTAACTCAGTTACCGCTCGTTTGATTGATAAATCAATCAAAATATTTATTTATTTATTTAAACATATAAATATTGGTACAAAAGGACACGGAATACATATGCGCCACACAAGTCACTTGATTTGTGTGTGGGCTGCGATACTGCTCGAATGCCCAGATCGTAGCAGGTGGATTTCTTGAGAAATCACACCCGGAGCCCTTGGCCTAAAGGTGTGATCCACAAGGCGTTGGATCAATGCAAGGAGATTCATTCCCATTGACTGTTCCTTCATTTACACACCAAACATTATCCATTCTCGATCTTTATTCTTCTATCTTTTTAACCTTCTGCTGGCAGGTATTTCACTCTCGACTGACGATACATACAACTTATACCTATCGACGTCAGTAGCACACACCACGCTACTACTGTAATGCTTCCGGTTGAATTTCACGACTAGAATCAGTCCATATGACAATGAATAATCACAATACATTGGTTCATAAATCTTTCTGCTATCTGTAAAGTGCTTCTCAAGGATTCGATTATCACTTCTTTATCAATGGACTCAGAGCTTTCATTTCGTATTAATAAATTTTTTGTAAGTCATCTGGAAACTAGTTTGTATTTCACAATATTCGTAAGCGTGTCATGATAGCATTCTAAAGTTTGTCGACAATGAAAAATGATCAGTCACAGGTCTCGCGCACGAACGCCTAATCTCTAGACCAATGAGCCGGTCAGTATCCGACGATGTTAATGTCTAAACTCAACCAATCCACAGAATTGCTCGACCATCCTCCACTGTACTGAGATGGATACCTGTTTCTACACAAAATGGATTAGCTCCACTGGTCACGGCTTCTCACAACAAATCCGGAAATTCCCGTATTAATGGCAGCAACATTTAAATGTATCCACAAAATGTGTTTCACCAACTCATTGAATAGTAATTAAATGGACTAGTTATCATAAACAACAATAACAACAACAATTTATCATTGTTAAATAAACAATTTATTTACAGTTGATTACACAATGGTATTCCATGTGAAATGTACAACATTGAATGAAGCAATAATGGCGCACAATTAAACAGTATAAGAAAATATACAACAGTTTTATGATAAGAGGAAGAATAAGAGGAATAATAGAATAAGGATAAGTGTATAAAAGAAGAACACTGATGAATGGACCACTGGAATTCATACAAATGATATATGTATATATATAAACAATATGGAAAATTATGCAATACAATCTACAATACGGATAGATAATCCAATCAATCAATGATTGTGTTCACTATGGATTCATTTGATGATGATTGGATATGAATAATGATTCCTGTATGAATTGTGTATGACATACAGTGTTAGCTTAAATCTCTCCCTACTTTATACCCATGTACTAGAAATGCTAACAATGTGAGGTGTTACACAAACAAGCTTGTGTAGATTCGATCGTCTATTCCTTATCTATTCGAGTTACACAATCTTTGTCACGAATCAGAAATGGAGTTTCCAGTAGCTTCATTGAAACTGACAGGAAGTGTCTTACTACATGTTATTCAATGATATGATAATGCCATCTGACAAATACACTACAAGACTCTCCTCAACTACATACAGGAATATTCTATCCACTTTAACAATAATAATATTCACAAATCTTAATTACTAATATTATATAACATGCAGTGTGTACGTGTGAGTGTGTGTGAATACTTCACTTACCACAACATACTTTCCCACCAGTCATTTGTTCCATCGTATCATTGTGTATTACAGTTGTATTCATGACACCACTAAATAGTGAGCACCATCTTGGACGATCCTGTATAAATACCAAACAAATTTGTGTTGAATGTGATGAAGATGATTTTTGTTTTTCTGTACACTTTCATAAAATTTTTAATTAGCAGTAGTAAATGGAAAGATATTGTTTGTGAATCGTTCACTTGAATGAACATTATAAAGTGTGTATTTTGTGTGTGAGTGCAGTGACACTGTCCTGGTGGCCAGATCGATGCAGGTGGTTTCCTTGGGTAGCCACACCTGGAGCCTTCGACCTGAATGGCTGATCCACAACACAGTGAAACAACGTCAGAGGATGCAGTCACATGTTAGTCGGCGACTAACAATTGCTTCACACACCATTTGTTTCGTTCAGGATCCTGGAGTCCATGTGAACCATTGGTTTAGGATACTGGTTTTCCGACTCCCCTAGGTGGACATTCCGTGTCCACCAACTTATCACTGTTTAACCTTGAGAACATTATCGATTGGTTACCTGTCTTATTTTTAACATATTTGGACACACCTTGGATTTCATCATGAATATATATTGCCGGCATCATCAGAGGAAATTCCAACTGATCAGCAAATCAGTGTTCCTAATAATCTCAATACTCATATTGGATTTTTAAAGAGATCTCAAAGTATAATTACACTATTTCGCAATAAACTACATATCTAGAATGTATCTTAATAACTGTCTTATTTTTGAGCTACAGTTTCCTGTAGATTTCTGTTCGTCGACACTCACTTTAGTATATTGCATTATACTACTAGCTAACATTCAGTAAGCAGTTCAACACGTTCGAAAATAAATCTATTTCGAGGCCAAATCATTCATTGCAACAAACCAAATAATTTCAATACGCTCTCACGGTTTATGCATTCAACTCGATAACCGTTCGACCTTCTATAGGATCAAAACTGTTTAGTGGATTTCGATACCTGACAGTCACGTTTATTCGTAATGTCTCTTGTATACAAGCACCATTTATAACATAAATATCAATAAATGACTGTGTATTATTATTATTATTATTATTATTATTATTATTATTATTATTAAAACGATGAGCAGAATATACTGAACTTACAACAATATAGGAAAACGACATGCAGTAGGGATTGAGTTCACATTCACTAGCACAATTTATTGTAGCATTGACTTGCCTGAGCAAATAGGTACTGAGGAATTGATTGTTCGGTAATCCTGGCTTCACTACATAATATGTTTGATTACATTGCATGAGTTTTGTACAAGTGGAACATGGGAGACACGGTGACATGATAACTCCATAGTTTCTAATATCATCTGGAATAGAAAAGTGTTATGAGGTCTTACATCGTTATACACACAGTTGTCGTATGAAACAAATAGATACTGTGGAAGAAATTATTTATTAGTAAATGTTTAAATTAAATACGAGTCCGTGTTTCGCATATTGCTGACGCTATCGCGATCCATATACACAAAACTAACCTTCGCATCCGAAACAAGTTTGTACAACCACTCTCACTAGGTTGGCCAACGATCAAGGAGTGAATATACAGCTCAACTTCGATTAAACTCGTTTCATTCAAAATTATTTCAACTATCTTCTAATTTCTTACACATTTGTCTCTTGATCCTGACGTAATCGCTTCAATACTGGTCTATGAGTGAGTGAACAAACTTGATTCAAATACAAGTAACCGGTCATATAGAATTGTTGTCCCATCCATATATCATTGTATACACATGCCGAATTGAAGCAGAATCATTACATGTTTACTGTAATAGACCGTTTATGAAAACTATTGCTGTCCGAAACCAAAGTGAATACATGTTCTTGTTAGCTAGTCATTTCCTTTTAATACACTCTGTGTGATCAATTCGAAATACAAATGTTCCATTTGTTTAATTAAGCTTAATCATTGAAACTTACTACAGCATATTTGTGTTCCAAATTCGAATGCGGTACGATTGTATAATTCACTAGTTATATTGATCGGCTTTGAATATAAGGTGCATTGTGTTGGTAAATCCTAATAAAAGTGTCAAAATAGAAAGCACATTTTATGAAGCGAATAATAATCTGAATGATTTATGGAGAAGATGAGATTACTTTGTTTTAACCAAAATGTTGAATAAAAGTTTCAAGGTGTCCTGGAATTGGACGCTTTCATCTACAGTGTGAGATGTATACAGTTGATCTGATTAAAACAATAAGACACAATTCACATTCTACATCTCACTCATTCATTTACCCAATGCGGTACATTCATATGTTTAAACAAAAATATGGAAATTCATTTCAACTTACAGTTGGACTTGTGTATGAATAACATAGGGGATTCGATAGACATTCATTTAAGCACGATGATGAAGTTTGGACCATACTAAGAGTATAGTTGTTTATAAATGACTGATTTGGTAGTCCCCATCCACCTATCCATTTTGAATAATTACAAGGCATAATTTTACTACAGTTCGTACACCATTTACATGTCGATAACACATTGATACTTGATCTTGAATTTAATTGTGTGTAATAACAAGCGAGGAAGTGAATTGAAATGTATGCATGAATAATGAATAAATGTTTAGTCATTTGGAGTAAGTTAAAAATGTATAAAGGATTAGTATATAAATGATTTGAGATCTAACTGAACAATGATGATTTCCGTTGAATTTCAGGCGTTTATATAGTTGGATGTCATGAGCACACTGACCAATCAGATATATCCTCTCTTTTAAGTGCTTCCAGGTTTGCATTTGTAGTCTTTCATTGAGCTATCCATGGTCTCAATCAAAACCCACATAATTCCACTACAAAAGCTGAAATACAATACAAATAATAGAATACAAATAATTGTTAAACATGGTAGTTGCAATTGATGAATAGAATACATTTACTAATGAATATTGTGTATATGAGGTGAAGTGGAATGGTGTCATTCTATTGTATCCCTGATAACATCAATTGTATTCTCTTTTATTTGTTTAAGTGAACTCATTGAATTCGCCTCAACTTCATATTACCGATTTTGTATTTATTGTTCACAAATACAAAATTTCTTATTAGTGATATACAGTTTTGTAAGTTCACTTCATTCATTCATTCATTCATTCATTCATTCATTGAAGTTCTCACAGGATTGTCACATTCTGTTTGTACTTGTGTTATGATGACTGCTGTAATAAAATGCATTCAGCTTTCATTTGTAATTTCACACTTGAATTACATAAATGCGTATAATTGTGCATTGTATATGATGGAACAATGGAAATAGTACAATACACAATTGCCCCATTGTGTTGACTGAATACAATCAAATGAAACAGTTCTCGTTCTAGGTTACATTGTGAATGGTAGTTAAGGAAGACGGAACAATAAGCAGAAGTGAATCGTTGTTAAGAGATGAAAGGAGAGAAGCTGTGAGTTGGGTGTGTGAACGACAGTTGAATGCATCAAATGTTGAATAGCTCCTCAACTAATACTTACAATACAATCTATAAGAGTAATGCATCACTGTATTTCATTCATTGCTTAATAAATTGTTCCATTATTCCACAATACATACACTTTGTTGTGGTTTCCTTGGGTAATTATAGTTATACGACCTTAAAATGAGTGAAATTCAAAACAATGACAACAAGCAACTGTTTCAAGCAAATGAAAGAAATCCACTCAAGTGAGTAAATGTCCTTACAGCTAAGTGTGAAACCAACTAAGTAAGTAAGTAAGTAAGTAAGTAAGTAAGTAAGTAAGTAAGTAAGTAAGTAAGTAAGTAAGTAAGTAAGTAAGTAAGTAAGTAAGTAAGTAAGTAAGTAAGTAAGTAAGTAAGTAAGTAAGTAAGTAAGTAAGTAAGTAAGTAAGTAAGTAAGTAAGTAAGTGAGTGAGTGAGTGAGTGAGTGAGTGAGTAAGTACTAGGAATTGACTATGCAATTACAATACATGCAGTGTTGTATGATGCTTAGGTCAATTACCCACATTCCTTAAACAGTGAAAAGAAATTAAAATGCTTGATAACAGTGTGATTGAAGGGTAATATGTTCATTCTCTGCCAAACTGCTTTCAAGAATCTCTTCAAAATGTATTGAAACCAGTGAATTTAAACAGTGTTCGCAATGTATAAGTGTAGTTACTATTTCGTAACGAAATAATCAACCTCTGTTCGCTACTATTTAAATCTGAAGAAGTAACTAAATCGGAATACTTATATACAAATATAAATATAGTGGTTGGTTGTTGCTTTTGTAAACAAATGTGATTATGATCAGTGGAATGTTTCAGGGATAATTTGTGAATATACTATTATGAGAATGGGGACTTGTAGAGATTGTAGTATCTTAACAGGTGGATTGACAAGTCGATGTAAGAGAGACCATTATCGAAAACCAATCATGGATCGATTGAAACTAGACATCAATACCTTTGTATGTATGCTCAGTGGTCCAGGGTTTAGGCGTCCACACGAGATACAGAATACCCCGAATTCGAGTCCCGTGTGTGATTTGAAGCATGCGCAATACTGGAGAGTCCCATATTACGATTAAACGGACATCCAATGCTTCCATCTTTCCAGTGGAGCTCTTGCATCGGTCGATTAATGATATCAATCAAAACTCAACAATTTCCACAACCCTATACTGTTAATCTAAATAGTTTACTTTCTCGATCTCAATTACATCCTGTAGAGTAAATACCTATTGAATTTTTTACATTCACTTCTTATTCACAATTATCATCTATAATGATATTTAGTGGTTGGAATGAATAATACCACAATATTGAGAATACGGTAACACTATACTTGATGGACTACATGTGATTAAAGCGTTGTCAAACTCCGAATACCTGTGGCATCTTCAATATATTGAGTCTTAGAAATCCAGTCACATTGTTATAATTGAATATACTTCTTATAGTTTTTTGAAGGTTCTGATTATAGACAGAGAATATGATTATATATTCTTCATCAGTTATATCACTATTACCATCGATATTCATGTCATATAAAAATGGAAATGATAGTGGTTTCGAACTTAAGCAAATTGTGGCTTGTAGTACGGTTATGTTGTATCTTTGCTTTTCAGACAGTCGACCTGTTTAACATATCTGGGTGCAAGTGTACATTGACATCATTCATCAGCTAATTAGTAGGGTCAAAACACCAGATCATCAAACAGAACTCAACAACAAACTTAGGATCCAAAGCACAAGAAGTTTGAATCAGTTAAAGAAGCTGTACATTTGAATTGAGTGTGTTGTTCAGAGTGTAAACAAAATGTAGATTATGTACAATACAGATCCAAAGTGTAGTTATGACGAATTTCTGTCATGTGGAATCATTTTGATCCTAATGTTAACGGTGTGGCGTAAAATTTATGTTTGTGATGTGATATTCACTGTCGTTTCCATACCATCTTCAATTCCTTATTGGTTGAGTAAGCATTTCGAAAATTATCACATTGTGGGTTGACATCATAGATTCCTCAAATATTCTTCTGTTGTTATCTAATTTTGTAGTCTTTTATCTCAGATGAAGCCAACCGTCACTCAGCAGTATTCGAAGTATCTATTGAACAATTAGAAACGGTTACTTATTGAGGATATTCAGGGAATTGCACTACCGACATCCAATTGTTCCACTTAGTTTATTCCATATTTTTAATTTTCCAAAGAATCCCTCATAGAATGTACGAAAATGAAAATTGGATGTAAATTCTTGTTGTAATGATGGTACCATGTTTTTGTTCAACTGATAGCTGGATTATATTAAGATGAACTAAAGAGTGACATCAGCAAATGTAATTCATTTAAGGATTGTAATGGAAACTCGCACCGAGACTAATCTCTAAGCGAATGTCTTTAAACCCTAAATTCAATCTATGTTATACATACACACTTGTTTTGACGCCTCTTTGTTCATTAGGCATCATATTCTCAGATAAGCAGAAGTAGTGTATTTACTAATCTATGAAAATTTCCCCGTTTTGATTTAATTCAAGAAAATTCAGTCATTAATTTTGTTGTCTACAGTTCTAGGAGATCTTTTGGTTTCTTTCTCATTTGCATTATCTTAACTGTAGGATTGAAGTTAACAACAGAAACTGTTTTCACGCTGTTCACAATGAACTTGATAAATATGATATGAAGCATGTATCAATTGTTAATGAAACTGTTTTCAACTAAATTTAACTATTGACTGTGTATATAATGCTCGTGGAAATACAATTGTCAGGATCTTTGTCTGTTACAACATACCTGTTTGAATATCGACTGAAAATACAAGCAATCAGTAATATTCTGGCTTATTGCATCAAAAACGGATTGACATCGATCTCAAGCTAGTTGACACGCATTGGCGAAACAAGCATACACTGATAATATCTATGTGGTTCCAACTCACGTAACTCAGCTTCACAATCTGGTAATGCAAATAATCTCTCATCAATGTTCTATATCGATCACATTCTGAACAAGCTGATACGTGAATATGTAGTACGCAGTTGTCCCAGTTCATCCAGTTTCCAATCGTCTTACTAAATTTATTCAACTGGAATAGAGTTGTTGGCACATAAGTAGTTTGAAGTTTAGATTCGCGCTATGAAACGTGGAAGTGTGAATAGAGATTCATGGTGCTGTAACAGATATGTGCTTTTGAGGAATTTTGTATCTGGTTGTTCATTTAAAAATACCTTTTCAAATAAATTACGTACCTTTCAGGAGAGCTGCTGTTTTACTCCGGCCATGAAGAAGAAAATGCTCGATATTCACAATGAGTTACACTGATGCTATCCAAACAAGCACTTACAATATTTATACTATGGGAATCTCATAAATTCAGAATAATCAAATCCTCCTTCAGAACAAAAATGAGGGCATTACAATGAACGTCATCCAATGATGTGCGCCTACCAACAATTACAGTGAAGGCGATAATCACCAATTCTACGATAGGCTGCAGACAATCGTTGAGAAATGCCCAACAAAGGACCTAACCACTCTGATAGTAGACCTAAATGTCAAGGTTGAGATGTACAACATCTGATATGAAGATATTATGGGACTAGATGGGCCAGGAAAAAGGAAGAAAAATGGTGAGCGATTTGCAAACCTGTGTGCCTTCAATGAACTGGTCATAGGAGGCACTATATTCCTACATAGACACATACACAGAACCACATGGACTTCACCGAATCACGAAACACAGAACCAAGTCAACTAATGAAAGGCAATTTTAGCATGTGCGAGAACTATAGAGGTGTCACACTTCTCTAAATACCATGAAAAGTCTTCAACAGGGTGGACGACATGGATCAGCAAAAGAGGAAAGAAAATAGTGAGATATTTGCAAACTTGTGTGCCTTCATTCACAATGCTTTCACTTGTTATCGATGATGGTTTATTAAAGCGTCTGGGTCACCTACGTTCCGATTTCAATTAAATTCGTCCAGAAAACTATACATTTCATCTTCGTACTGAATCCAAGTATGCATGGAGAATGGCATAGAACATATCGAAGAATATTTTCGTTAAACATATAAAGATCATGTGGCACCGTGTGATAACTTCTTCATAAAATGACATACGATTGAGTGTAA